TAATCTATTTCAAATTGAAGGTAAAACGTAGACAAAAAACTTCATACTTTTCTGCTAATTACAAATAAAATAGTTACTAAATGTCTTCACCAAATAGACAAATTATAAAAATAAAAAAAATAATTACATATTAAGACTATGATTATTCTTACAGTCAAAGAATATGATTATTCTTACTGTCAAAAATATTTCAAAGAAAACTAAATAGTTCTAGATCCATTCTTAATAATTTTCTGAAATATATAAATGTTTAAATATGTAGAAATATATGTGCATGTTAAAATAACTTTCGATTTTATTTGCATTTTATGCAAAAACAGTTACATGTGGTCGTTTACCTCTAAAGATGCTAAACACGCAATTTCTTACCCACGATTTTGTATTCAAAATTATGTATTATAATTATATTACACATTTATGATAGTGAATACATATAAACTCACACACTTGACTATCGCAAAATAAAAACACAATGGAATATAATATCATATATATTTATAATATCGTTATACTTATAATATCGTTATTTTTTATTAAAGTTTGAGTCGTCTCTATATGAGAGTAATAACATAATTTCTGATTAACATAATTTCGCAATTATATGGTTGGTATAATTTTATCATATAATGCGTTACCATTTATTGTCTTTATATGTACATAATTATAAACCAACACATGGTCATGATTTGTTTTAAAATTTGAACATACATAATTATCCATATATGATATATGTTTAGTAAAAATAATCAAAGTTAAAAACCAAGAGTGTTGGTCTATAGTACATATTAGAATATGCAGTATTGTCAAAACACTACTCAAAAATTCTTACAACTGCTAAATGCTATCCAAAATTACATTTGCGCACAACAATAATTATTTGACATTACACTTCTACTACAACATATTTCGACTATTTTTATTGACTTCTCATTGGGTAAGGTATAGTAACCACAAAAAATCGAAAATGATAATTTTTACATACCTTTACGTTCTAAAGGTTTCGGAACATTTTTGCATATTTTAGTAAAAATAGATGTATGTATGTGTGTGTGTAGGCACGGATGCAAATTTTCGTCGACGATTTCGAGAGCACGAATCAACCGATTTGAATGATTTAAAAAATATTCGATTCCTATCGATAGGGAAACGTGCAGATTAATTTCTGACTAAGACAGGATTTTGAAGTTACGGGGCACATATTGAATTATTCAAAATACATTTCACTCGTATTGATATTTTTTCAAAAATTTAAAGCTATACAAAACATCTTATTCGGTTAACATTTATAATATATCTGAATATTTTCTACTTCAGAGATATTTTTATTCCTACTCTATGAAATGCCAATGATGATTCACTAATATAATGCAAAACTCTTAGATATTTTTTTTTTTTTTTTTTTATATTGGGCAACTTGTGGGCTTTTTTATATTGGGCTGCTGCATTATGTGCTTTTGAGAAATATATAGATTTTTGTTGTTTTAGCCAAAAATACTTTTTAACGATTTTGATGTTTATGTAAATTAATTGACCTTGGATTGATTTTAAAAATATAGTTGTATTTCGATATAGGTGTTTTCGATATTTATTGTCTTATCCTCGGCGTATTATTTGGGTATTATTTATTGCAGACTAGTTCAAATAAGATTATGTTATGGATTTGTGTTTGTAAGCATATTCAATCGCAATTAATAGTAATTTTTTGTAATAATATTTTGAACATCATAAAATATTTGTTATGAGAGATAATATAATTAAATTATAGTGGTATAAAGCTTCGTGTCCTTATGGAAGTTACTGGAACTTTTCGTACTATAATTCAAAATTAAAAAAAAAAATTGTCAAAAACTAAAAAAAAAAAAATTATTTGAAAACTTTGAAAAGAGAATTTTTGGAACAAATTCGACCCTTTTGAAAAATTTGATTTGATTTTTTTGAATTTTTTTAAGAATCTTTAAATTTTTTAAAAATTTGACCAATTGAAGGTTTTGAAGGTTGAGATCATTTGTTTGAAATATAAGAGTGAACTTCAAACAATATATAAATTACTACAGAACCCTTAGAAGTGGTAAGAAATATTATACTAACATTATTAATATTTTCATCAAGAATTTGATAATTCGATATACATATATCTAATGATCAGTTTTGACCGCCAAATGGCATTTTTTTCTTAGATCTTCTAAACAGCCAAATGGCATTTTTTTCTTAGATCTTCTAAACGGCTGGACCTGCTTTTCCAAAAATTTAATTCATGTTTTATTCCGTCAATTCGAACAAAATGTTTTTAAATCATTCTTATTTCTCCGTTCTCTCAAAAACTGCCTGCCGTTTTTTCACTTTTTGCCCCGTATCTTCGAATCGACTTGGCCTGCTTTTGCCAAAACCTATTCAGCTGGTCTACCTACCAACAAGAATTAAATGTTTTTTGAATCATTCAAATCGGATGATCTGGGCTCTCAAAATCATTGATGAAAATTTGTACGCACATACAGATATAAAAACCACATTACACTGATATACAAACCACATACGCATTTTCTATAAGATATGCCAAAATTTGCAGAAACTTTTGAAACATGTTAAGATATGTAACAATTTTCTTTTTTTCTTTTTGCGTTTAAAATAACCCACTCTACGGGAAGTAAATAAGTCAAAATTGTATAATATTTTTTAAAATTATCATGCTATATATTATTACAGAATGAAAACAATCGCATAATAAACATTTAATGACACATCTTGAATATAAAATTATTACTTACGCTACAAGCCGACATTATTATTAATGCATTATATTATTCGGAAAATTTAATGAAAACAATAATTAATTTGTCAACGCATTTTTTTATATAAGAACGCAATTAAAAGCTATTTGAAAACGGTTTCTATAAGTTACTTAATCGAAATTTAGAACAAGCGTAATAATAATCGCACTCGATGTGCATTCAACCCAAGCAAATTTCAATCAAAAACATTACAAACATTGAATAATTAAATTAAATAATGGTTTTGCGTACTCGTGCATCATTGTCAATATTACAATGATGTACTCGTACGCCATGAAAATGAAAGTTTATATGAAAGTTTGAAAATTAAAATTCAATTTTTAATTAATTTCAAAGGACATTTTTAAAGTTTATATGGTAAAGTGTTTTATATAATTATTCGAATATTTATATAGAGTAGGGCGGGACACAAAGGTTCAATTTGACTTTAAGTAATTATAGGGGAAAGGCCCGTAACTCCGGATGGCACCAAGCACCGAACACTCTATTTAACACGCATTATTTAAGCGAGTATAAATCTTTTCATTTCAAAATACTAGTGATAGGGGCATGGGGGGCACACAAGTACAGGATCACGTGCCAAGCGACGCCAGTGAAGCATACGGCAACGGCGAGAGCAACCCTTTTCTGGTTTAGGCGCAAAATCACGGCGTCACTTAAATATCAATGGAAGTAATTCTAGCATATTTATGCATTTACATTTGAGTGATATGCAAAGATAAAAGTTGTACTTGATTGTTATCCGTAAAATGGTAGAATATTATTAGATCTTTTAACCATTTTTAGTAGGTGCCACCAAAAGAACGAAAATGTCTGTCCCTTAGAACCGGACACTAAGTAGTCCTTTAGTGCCGGGCAGTAAACATATTGATATTTCTTGTCTTATTATCTAAGAATATTCGTCAAAGACACATGTGCAGACATTCCAGAGTGTGGAGATGGATACCTATGTGATCAATGCAGGTTATTTTGAAATGTCCGGTACTAGGAGCCACTGTTTAAAATCATATTTTTTGATACCAAAGTTTGATTGATAGTGTTAATTATTTTTTAGCAAAGATTGCGGTTTTGTTAATTTAGTTTGATGTCTATCTTTGTTATCTAACATGAATCATAACTTAATAAACATTTTGTAAAATAGTTTTTGTAAATCAAAATTTATTTATAAAAAAAACCTTAGGTTTATTAACTTATATACCGCCACTAGAGCACTTCCTCCTACTGTCTAAACCGAATAAATTACATCACAACACATGTCAACTATCGAACTATGTTCAGTGAAATTCCCAATTAATTCCTAATTATAAACATGTGTTTTTACTGTTTTTCTAAAATTGCTAATCTGTTCCTTCTTACCCCATAGGCGAGTTAAAATGGGAATGCCACGGTGCAAAATATGACTTATTTTTAATTTTAAAGGAATTTTATGCAGTAATAGCTACATGACATTAATGTAATGATTGAATAATTATTGAATTAATAAATGAATAATTATTCAAACTAATGCAAAATATAAATTTTATCGGTGCACTTTTTACAGAGATAACATAACTAACGATCTGGTATTTTGTCGGAAATATTGATTAGCAGAGTTTAAATAACTATTGATTTAATTAATCCTTTGTATAATTGATTTTTTGTCTCAATTTACTTTTACTATTTACAATTTTTTATTGTTTACACCTTAGGATAAAAGTTCAGTTGGTTCGTTTCACCTCGCCGATGTGAGCTTTTATAGAGGTTATGAAAAATAACTGTTATGTCTAACATGAAAATAACAATTTTTTAAAAATTACGCATTTTAAAATAATTGAATATAAAATTATATAGAGTTCTCGTAAACTAAACAACAGTTCTCACAACCGAAAAAAGTAACATCGAATGATAATACTTTTATTATAGATTTTCAAACATTGCCGTTCACCTCCTGAGAATTAAGGTGAGATATCGGTAGTGGACCTTTTTACCCACGGACCTTTAAGCTTCGCTCTACCATATAAGATCATAGCATGCGGTTTTGACCTAATAATTTCATTTTTAAGATGCAGATTCTAGCAAAAATAAATTCATGCGGCAGCTATTGCATTAAAATAGCTATTGCATTAAAACACTGTAAAAATTTTACAGGAAAATTTAATTCGCATTTCAAAATTTTATTTTATTTTAGTGCAAATAAAAGTTTTATTTTAAAGCATATTATATTTTTTTCAGGATTTAGGCTTGGTTGAATTCCACGGAGAGTTGGAGTTAACACAGGGAGCGGCAAATGGTTTGTCCAGTGTCAACAGAGCCGGATACGCTCTGGTGCATTATAACAAAAAATTACTCCGTCTGGAAATGGGTCTCGGATTTGATGCCTTAAAGGTGATTTTTGAAAACATGAAAAAAAATGAAATTTTATTAGTCTTGGATATAATAGTAAGGTGACCATACGTTTCGGTTTGGCCGGGATAGTCCCGGATTTCTACCTTGTGTACCGGGTTTTCCTAAAAGCAATTTTTGTCTCGGATTTAGACTCTTTGTCCTGGATTGTCCCGGTTTTAGTATTACATATAATCAAATAATAAAGTTTACTGAAAATTCGCAATTCTGATTAAAAAAAAAGATTCGTCCCGGATTGGCATAATAAAAATTACCGTCCCGGTATTGACTTAAGAAAATATGATCACCTTAATAATAGTAGTTATAGAAATAATAAAAAAAATATTACGTTCTTAAAATTATTTAACTTTGCAATTAATTATTACTATGATTAGGTATCACCTAATTAAAACAGATTAGGTCCTAATCTTTTCTGATAAATAGAAAGCAGCTGCACGTGGAATTATTATGATATGCAATTTGAAAATAACATTATTATCTTTTCGAATATAAAATCATTGCATTATTATTTATTATCATTTTATTATTTTTGCATTATTATTTTTTAATTTTTATATGCACTATATTATTCTGATAAAAACTTTTATTTCTACTAGTAAGCTTACATTTTATTCGAATAAATTATGAATTCTAAGAAATATTATTTTTTTTAGATTTTCTATTAACATATAAGTCATTGTATAAGATTTTCGTAAATTTAAAACAATGTTTAATCTAGGTGAAGCTTAAAATCATTCTGCAATCATATGAATTAAAAAAGTTACTTTTATTATGAGCTATTTGCCGGAATCATATCTGTATAAAAATATTTATAAAACTTGGTCTAGAAATTAACAAATAAACGGAAACTCAACAAAACTTCTTTCAAGTATAGTTTAATTTTTTTCAGATTTATAAAAAATATAGAGATTTTCCGAAATGCTAAAAATTGTTCAAGAGTTTTCAAGTTATCGTATAAAATCAAATATTTATTCTATAAAATGAATTTCATAAATTCATTATTTTTATTAATTATATTTTTCCTCTATTCTCAGTTCCAATACCAATATTTGGCAAGAATCATGAACATTGGCCCTAAAGGACAAATTTATGCAAATGTAGAACGCACTGAATTGCGTTTCGATATTCTTTTGGATTTGGAAGATTTCACATTTTACTTACAGAACTTCAAGATTGGTAAAATTGGGTAAGTGTAATCCATTTAATCATATATTATTTATATCATGATAGCGATTAAAACGTATATCTGATCCATTTTTTTCCGTAAATAAATAAATGACAGATAAATATTGATTTTGGATTATATTAATCTTTAAAATAGTGAAATATATATACAAGCCCAAATGATTCTGAGTACTTTCGTTTTTAAAAAATCTATTCTGTTTTCTCTATTAATATTATCGAGTGATCTTTATTTATTTTATAGTAGAATTTTGAACTGCAAAGCTTTGTAATGATATCAAGAAAATTAACTTATATACAACAAAATAAGTGTAGATATACATATCTTGCTCTCCAAACATTTGATTCCACTCCATATATGTTATAACAGAAAATAATAAAGAATTCTTTATTTTTCATTTAATATTTATTAATTTTTATCATACATTGTAAGTGTAACTTATGAAAATATTTTAATTTATAATAATTACATTTTAATGAGAAAAGTTGACGCTCTAAAAAAATATTATATAATATAATATAAATTTAATTTGTATAATTTTATATAAATTTAATTTAAATTTCATATTTCAGATCGTGAAAGATGTCAAAAGTTTTCGTTGTGTAAAATATCATAAATGGTCAAACTATTTGAAAATATTTAAAAACAAAATTTGTTACATTATAACTCTTAACTATCTATTGAAATTCAATACAGAAATATCAATTTAAGTCGTGGAATGAATGTAAAATATATATGAATATAATTATATATATATATATATATATATATATATCACTTCATGAATATACAAATTTATTTATTCTCGTGCAGAATTTATATCCAATTATATTTTATATTTATGCTAATTGAGAATATAACTCGAATATATATACTTTATATTCAGTCGCAACTGCTTTGATTTCAAGGAAATATACAAAATGATTGCGAATTCTTTGCCATTTGATAGCGCATATTTCAATTTGGAATATTTTTAAAAGGTTTTATATAATTTCCTAGTAGAATTTGAAAGCAATATCAAATATACAACTTAAGTAGTTTTGAATATAGAAATGAAGGCCGATTTAGTTTATGTTGCAATCATGTAAATTTTTATGTAAATCTTATTTTTATGTAAAGCTTATTCAATCGATGAGGCCATATTGTCACAGCTTTTTGAGAAAGGCATCTTTAAAAGAATAAATCTCAACATTTGATACAAGATCGTGAATATATTTATATCATCGGTCTAGTTTTTAAATCGTTTATTTTAAGATGAACTATGAGCTATTTTTGATTCTAAGGTATCATATGAAAAATGTTATGCACATTTTCACGGATATCAAATATCTATAGTGGACTATTTAAAATAAATGCAACTAGTGGCAACTAGTGCATGGCATTGTGCCTTAAGGTAAATTGCTGAAACTTCCCGTGCCGAACATTAAAATTTCTAAAAAAACCTTTAAAATTATTGGAAATCTTTCAAAAAAAATTTTTTTTAAAAAATTTGATTTCTTTTTAATATTTTGATTTTTTATACTTTAAATTTTTCTTAAAATTTTAAACTTTTTTCAAAGCAATAATGCTGCGTGGCTGTTTTAGAGGAGAAATGTCCAAGCGCGTAAGCGCCGCATCGCTGTCTAACGAAAAAACGTTGGTACGGAACCCGTAGAAATGTAAACAAACTTCATACTTCTTAATGAAATCTATAAAAAATATCCGATAAATTGATGTGCGTATGTCCGCCAAATGGCCTTTTTTTACTTGATCTCCGAAACCGCTAGACCTGCCTTTTCCAAAAACTAACCAATCTCCCTATCAATACGAATCAAATGTTTTTTGAAATATTCGAATCGGTTGATCCGTGTTCCTGAAATTGTCAACGAAAATTTGTATCCGCATACATACACACACACATACTCCAATTTTTTCTAAGGTATGCCAAAATGTTCAGAAACCCCTGAAACGTGAAGATATTCAAAAATTTTTGTTTTCGATTTTTTAAACTTTATTTAATTAATAATAAGGTTTGAGGAGATATGTTACAGTTGTTTTTTGAAAATGATATTGCATAAATGGGCACTTTTGACCTTCAGTACAAAATTGGAATGCCTGATGCTACTTTGAATGGTTGTATAATTATACTCTGTATAAGTTGATTAATTGTAAATGTGTTGAAGAATGATTTAAATACAAAATATTACTTACTAATATGTTACACATTGTTAATTTTGACATTTGAAATTTATTAACTTCTCTCAGGGTAATTTATAGTAATCTCAAGAAAATAAAAATTTCTACATATCTTTACGTTTGAAAGGTTTCTGAGCATTTTGACATTCCTTAGAAAAAATGAATGTATACGTGTGTGTGTGTATGTGTAGTATGTGCATATGTGCGGATACAAATTTTCCTCGATGAAATTCAAAACACATACGATTCCATTCGATGGGTGGACGTTTGGCAAAGACAGGTTCAGTCGTTTCAAAGATACGGGACAAAGGGGCAAAAAATAGCAAATCAGTTTTTAGAAAACAAAGCGTCCAACTTGAATGATTTAAAAAGCATTTCACTTGTGTTGATAGAACGAAGGTCTGATCAATTTTTTGGGACGGCAGATACCGCGGTTTCGGTGACAAAAAAATTAAAATATGCGATTTGGCTTAAAAATGATCATTAAACATATGCACATCAAATTATCAAATATTATATAGAGATTTTAATACAAAGTACAATATTTGTTTCGTTTCTATGCGTTCCGTACCAAGATTTATAATGTTTAAAGCTGAATTATATAGTTTAAACAAATGTTTTCGATATTTTCGACAGTATGATTCAACTGATTTGAAATGGTTTCAAAATTTCGTAAAAAATAAAATTATTTAAAGAATTTCAAAATTTTCAAAAAATTGTCGAGTTTTTCGAAACTTAAATAATTCTCAAAATCACAAGATTTAAAGCAAATATATTTCACGGGATCTTGGGGAACACGATGCCATGCACCACTAGTTTTCAAAACAAATTTGGAACCGCAGATGCTGATTGTGCATATTTGAACGCCAGACCCCAAAAAATCACATATATTCGTATATGTTAACGCATTCTAAGTTTTTCTGGAAGTAATAAGATCCTACCGAAGGTTTAGTATTTCTTGTTGAAAAGTGTGCGTTGCAAAAATAGCAATCTTGGTCACACAAACTATTTCAGGCTTTTGGCAAACTATGAATCGCAATCTATTTTCGTATTACTTTATAGGTCAAGATATTACTCAACTTCTACTGTATACATATCGACAATTATATTTTATGTTTCGTATTACACCGATATTAGTAGTACACAAAAATAATTAAATTTTAATTACGAGTGAAAATCTCTCACAATAATTGGGTATCATATTATATGACAAAATACACTTTTATTTGCTTAATTAATCTATACATATCTATATATAGATATATTTAAAAACTAGTGGGGCGCATGACATCGTGCCTTAAGGCAAATTGCTGGAACTTCCCGTACCAAAAATTTTTTTTTAAAAAATAATAAAATATGAAAATTTAACATTTTTGAAAAAAAATTACTTTGACAAAAATTTACTTTTTTTTGGAAAAAAAGACTTTGAAGAAAAATTTATTTTGAAGTATTTTGGAAATTCTGAACTTTTTTTCAAAGCAATCGTACTGCTTTAACTGCATAGAGACAAAATATCGAAGCTCGTAAGCGCCGCGCCGCCGTCTAACGAATGAACATTGGTACGGAACCCCTAGGAATGTAAACAAAATTTATACTTATTGTTAAAATCTCTATAAAATACCTGATAATTTGATGTGCATATATGTCTAATGATCATTTTTGACCACCAGATGGCATTTTTTTTACTTTTTTTACTAGATCTCCGAAGCCGCTAGACCTGCCTTCATGAAAATTTTGTCAGTTTTTCATGTTGTTAATACAAATACATTTGGAATTAAAATCGGACGCTCCGTTCTCTTAAAAGCTGAGTTACCGTTTTTGGCACTTTTTGCCTCATATCTTCAGAACGGCTAGACCTACCTTAGCCAAAAACTAATCAGCACGTCTCCTTATCAATACGAATCGAATGTTTTTTGAATTATTCAAATCGCTTCATCCGTGTTCCCGAATCGTCGACGAAAATTTGTATCCGAACAGACACACACACACGCACACACACACATACATAAAGTTTTTCTAAGGTATGCCAAAATATTCATCAACCTCTGAGACGTAAAGGTATATAAAAATTTTCATTTTCGATTTTTTTGCGATTACTATAACTTGCCCTACGTGAAATTAAAAATATTAAAAGGTTGTAGTGATTTAATGCAATAATCTATAATTACGTTTTACTTGTCAACTTTACGTTTATGTCATTAAAAATATTTATGAAAATTTTGAGAAATAGAGATATTTTCTCTAAAGATATTTACTCCAATTAGACTTTAAGCAATTGTATTATGAAAACCAAATCAATTACAACATAACAAATAACTATCTGACTGTGTCCAGTAAAATTTCCAACTAATTCATCATTGTAAAAATGTGTTTTAATACTGTTTTTCGAACATTTGTAACGAGGTCCTTTTTACCCTATAGGCGGGGTAAAAATAAACCATCAAGGGGAAAGGAAGTCCATTATCTTATTTTAATTTTAAAGTGATTTTATAAAATAATAGCTACATTATTTAACCAATACAAATTTTATGGGTGCATTTTTTACAGAGATAACACTGTAATTAACTTTGATCTGGTATTTTGTCAGAAATATTTATAAGCTTAGTTGAGATAATTATTTATTTAATTTATCTTTTGTGAAATTGCTTTTTTAACTAAAGTTACTGTTTTATTTGATATTTTTTATTTTTCACACCTTTGACATGGTAAAATTTCAGTCTGTTCTTTTTACTCCGCTCAGATATAAGCTTTTATAAAGATTATGTAAAACAAAACTGTCAAATCTAATTTAAAATTATGAACACATCTTATAAAACAATTAAATAACGTATATTTGAAAATTATATTGAGGTCTCGTAAAATATGCAACAATGTTCATTACCAAAAAAACTAACAACGAAATAAAATACTTTATAGATTATCAAACGTTGCCATTTTTCACCCGATAGTAACATCATAATGATAATCGTGATGATTGGTTATACTTTTTTTCCCTCTACTTTCAAATATTTTTGTTACAAAGTTCTCAACTTTACTGAGTTTTGAAATATCGGTGATGGACCTTTTTACACGCAGGCCTTTGAGCCTCGCGCTACCCTATATATATATAATGAAAAAATGCATGAGTTTCTGAAATTTCACAACAAAACTTGATGCAATTTTATTCACTGTGTATACGTATATATAAATATCGTACATTATAAACTAAAGGCCTGCTTTTTGCCACAAAAAATTTTTTTATTTATATTTACACCTTTTTTAACCATTTCAAAATTAAAAAATCATTATTCACCTATAAAAACCAATTTTTTCTACATTAGGCATTCATTAAAAATTACTTTATATATGTATATATTAATATATATATATATATATATATATATATATATATATATTAACAAAGTCTAATAATCGGGCATAACATCAATAAAAAACATGAATTTCTTTCAAAAATTTATTTTAAATCCATACGTTTCGGCTATAATCCTAGCCTTCATTCAGTGGAAACTAAAAATAAAATTAAAAACTAAAACAATTGAATTGGAGTGAAAAGAAAAAAATAAAATAGTAATTAGTACTTACAATTAGTTGATCTTAGTGTTAAATTGGAAAATTTTAATAATCATTGGTATTAGAATTCAGAATCATACAATATATATATATATATATATATATATATATATATATATATATATACATTAACATACATATGTTTACTTTATATTTAGTAATTAGGATAGTTTATATTTCTAATATATTTGTACCACTTTGATACAATGTATGTACACAACATAAATTTTATATTAGTTTCTGCTTGTAAATTTTTGAATCCTTTGAATATATGTATATTTGTAATAATCTAAATACGACATACAATAACTAAATATCTATTTACTAATACTGATAAAATTATCTAATATATTTTTCATTCGTTAGGAACAAATTATCACATTGTTAATTACTCTACTCTAATTGAAACCTAATATCCTAAGTATTATCAGTCGTTTTAAATTATTTTCAATTCATCAAACTCCAAATTTAATTTAGTAATAATGTTATTATATATTTTCTTTTTTCAGAAAAATCAACGTCAGCTTCAAAGGAAATCCCTTGACTGATTGGCTTGTAAATCCCGTCGTCGGTGTCGTTACAGGCATCTTCAAGGGATTGATCACAGGTGTTGTTTCCGCAACTGTTGAAAATATTCTGGAAGGAGTATTGAACGAAATCAACAACAGACCACCTCCAAGTCCAATGGTCAGGTTTTACTGATTCTTTTGGAAATGATTTTTTTACTCTACTGATTATTTAACCTTCATGTATTAATATTTTTACTAATAAAAACTTATTACTTATAAAAATTATTTATGGTGTATATGGAATCTATATTGTTCTCTATGAGCTATATTTTTCTCTCCACTTTTCTATTCTATTTTTCTATTCAGGTTCAAGGAATATTGTGATTTCATTTACAATATTTAAATGTTTTATTGACCAGTTTATATTGTCAGATATTTTTGCAAGTTCATTGAGATGATGACTCAATTCTGATACTTCAAGTTCACTTAAATATTGTAATATCTTACATAAATAAAAATCATTTGCATGTATGATTTTTTCCAATATTAACCAGTTAACTGTGATTGACAAATATACTCGTTATGGAGAAGTGTTTGTGATTGACGTGTATACTCGTCATACGTATAAATAAACCATAAGTTGCGATGTTTAAAATTATATATATATGCAGTAACTTACTGAGAAAACTTTTGGGAAAATTAGAAACCTTGGCACAGAACCCATAAAAATATAAACAAAATTTGTACTTATCTGTATCATTAAAATATCTACAAAATATATGATAATTTGTCTGATATTCATTTTTGACCGCTAAACTCCTATTGATGAGAAGACGTGCTAATTTGTTTTCGGCAAAGGCAGTTCCAGCCATTTCAAAGGTACGGGGCAAAAAGTTCCTAAAATAAAAATTCAGTTTTTGAAACAACGGAGCGTTCAGTTTGCGTAATTCAAAAAGTATTTTATTCGTATCGACAAAATGAAAAACTGATTAAATTTTTGAAATGGAAGGTCAAGCGGTTTCAAAGATCCAATAATGAAAAGTAAAAAAATTGACGGTCAAAAATGATCAAATCACATAAAATTATAGAATATTTTATAGAGATTTTATAAATATCAACTTTGCTTACATTTCTGTGGGTTTCGTTCCAATATTTATCAGTTACATTGCGATGGGACGCTTACGCGCTTCTATATTTCGTCTCTAAAACAGCTACGCAGCGCAATTGTTTTGAAAAATACTTAAAAAATATGAAAGACAATTTCAAGAATAAAATGTATTAGAAATTTTAAACTCTTAGAAATGTATTTTTTCCGATATTACAAAAAAAAATTTAAAAATGTTAATTTTCGGAATGAGAAGTCCGGCAATTTGCCTTGAGGCACGATGTCATGCACCACTAGTCGAATCATCTAAATCGGTTGATCTCGAAATCGACGACGAAAAATTGCATCCGCCCACACACACACGCACATGTACATACTCATACACACGCACCCAAACATAATTTTTTTAGGGTATGCCAAAAATGTTCAAAATGTAGAGATATATAAAAAAATATTTCCAATTTTGAAACAAATTTTGTTAGTGGTTTTATTTTTGTTAAACTTGGTTGTTTCACGAGGATGTTGTTTATAATTACTGTATACTTTCAGTTAACGACTAACCGTCGTTATAACAAAAATTTATTACGCAAATTACTTTTTATAAAATGTTTGTGCTTCCACTATTCACATCAAAATAAGATTATTTTGATTATGCGCATAACTTCTTGGGATAGGTATAAAATTCTTGAGCTAATTGGAAAATAACAAAAGCCACATTCTTGGATTAAATCTCTAAATGTGCAAACAAAATAAATTCTTCATCTGAAACTGTAAACACATCACTTAATACGAGATAATTGAAAAAAGTAAACAAATCATTCAACTTTGTATAATTGTTTGTTTCAGATTGTGTTTGAAATGTACGAGTGCATTCTAAATGTTAGAATTCTTTATAAAATTGAATTCAAGATTATTGAACAAGGAAATATTTTCTTATAATTATTAATCATTATATAATTTTAATAATTGCTTGAATAATTCGAGAAATGTATGAAAATAATTAAAGTTTAGTTATATGTTTGCAAAATTGTGCGAATTAATGGTTTTTCTTAATGTTTGTTTAAAAATTAAATGTTTGTTTTACTATTTATCATTATTACAGTAATGTAAAGTGTCAAATGAAGTATTAGTGTTCCGATTTTGGGTCTATTTTCACGTTTCATAGACTCATATTTCAAAATTAATGATACAAGCTTTCAAAGTTTCACTTTGCAAAATTGAAAACTAGGAAAATTTCGAATTGTAAAAGTTTCTAATTTTATTACATAAGTTATACTTACCTTTATTATTCAGTATTATAAGCAAAAAATGAAAGTAATTTGGCAATATATTGGCAATAAAAGTAGATGATAAACGATTCTTATGATGAATGTTCCACAAATTTCAAACTTCTAAAAATCTTAATAACAATGATTTTAACATACCTACCTATACCTATGATAAATCAATTAATATTTTCACAGGTTATTAATATTTTATGTGGTTTTAATTAAGTTTTGATGACTAGATGTGGTTAGATCGATGGGTTTTGAATCAGAAGGTCCAGATACGATTTCTCATACGGCCTGATGTCAAGTAGTTTAACAATATTTAATTGCTAACAAAAAAATTACTTTTTATAAGCTGCTGCTATGATTTTGGAACTCTATAAATAGTGCTTTAGAAAATAATGTCACGAGTTTGAATGCTTTTAATTCATTTTTGTTACCGTAAATATAGAAATGTAATGTTATTTTTTTAAACAATTTTAATTAATTTTTATGATTATTTATCTAATGATATGATAAAAAAATAATGAATTTGTAACGTCTCCTTGGGGTAAGGTTTATTAAGTTTATCTATATTAGGTAATTGATCTATAAGTTTTTATGCCATAAATACTTAAGCAGTTAATCTGGCCAAAGATTATCTTCATAGTTATTTTAATGTTATCATATTACATTGTAATACGTGAATTTCACAGTCATTATATTTCATATTATATCTTGATCCTACTTCTTTTAACCTTCAAACTATTTATATATTTATTGTGCATATTCGAGCAGAAAAATCGATAACGTTATTTCAAACTCCGCAGTTTTTAATATTATATTCACTTCTATTTTATTAAATAAATTTTATTGTATGAAATCAATTTACTTTTTTTAAATAATTTTAACTCAAGAGAAGAAAGAAATCTGTATTCTTCAAATCCAATTAATGATCGGTTCAGTTAATAATTTATATGTTCGTAATATTAATTCAATAATTTTTTTTTAATATGATATTAATACATATATTTTTAGCATAATATAGTGAAGTAATTACTGTTTTTAATGTTTAAAGTTAAAACTTTAAGAAATAAAATATGGATTAAAATCAAGAAATTAAGTAATAAACAAATTTTATTAAAAATTTTATTTAAAATATTTTATTAAGTTTTCATTTTTTCTTTTGTACATTGTAGACAATTAAAATTAAATTTATTCATTTCTAAATAAATATATTTTTTAAAAAAATTACGTTATAACACTTATACAAATTCTTAACTTAGAAGCATCTATAATACATGTTGTTTTAAATAAACAATCATTAATTATGGAATAAAAATCAATTCTATCATAAAATTAAAATACAAAATGGCATATACCTACTACAAATAGCATATAGTAATATCATTAATAATAAATAAAATACTGATGTCATCTTAAATACCGTCCTCCGTCCTCATCACACAGCTGATTAAGTCTCAACCTTCCTAGTTTTCCTTCTTCGCCAATCAGTGCTCATGTTCATGTCCGTTGTGCGTATGACTGTGTTCATGTCCACCGTCCCCATGTGAATGTTGATGGCCAGTTGCGAATTGCAATCCAAACATGATCAAAAATCCAATCAAAACTGCAATATACTGCAGTAATCCGCTGAAATCGCTCCATGCGCTCATATCGTGATCATGATGTTTGTGTTCATTTTCTGTATGAACTCGAGCTGATGCAAAAACTCTTCCTTTCATCTCTTCTTTCTTATCGCCTTGATTTGTGATATTTTCCTCATACCTCCGGTATATCTCATTATTTCCCTCTGAAGTTTCGTGAGATTGTGATGATTCTGCAGAATCTAGGTTGTCACTACTAGAATAATTTGGTGGGGGTGATGTATAATAATCATAAGCAGGCGTTTGATGATGGTTATGAGTAGCATCCCCAAAATGTGAATGTTCATGTTTTCCTTGCACGCTTGGTAGAAGAATTTCGAAGAAAACTACATATAACAGTGTACCGCAAGCCATACCTTGTAATATGGTCGTGGGCAATCCTTGCGCTGCGCTGCTGCTTACCACCAGCCCCAATCCTATGCCTAGAGGACTTACTACGGCGAAGGTGAAAATGTAAGCTATTACTAGTTTAGTTTTTAAATTCGAACTCACAAGTTCGATTCCTATGCAAAAGGCGATTACTAATTTATGTGCGCTGACTGCTCCAAATAAGTAATATACGTTAGAAGTAGAACTTGATAAGCCAACGGCCAATCCTTCAAATAGCTCGTGAACGCTTAATGCTAAAACAATAAGTAATCCTCTTACATTCTTAACCAAAGCATCCTCTTTGTCAATATGCTTAGGCGGTGCCTTTACGTCATTTTTACCAGAAATAACGCAAATCTCGCCGCAATTGTCATTGAGATTTTGATCAATGTTTGTGCATGTACTCTGTTGACAGAATGAGTTATCTTTTCCGCGTTTACGAAAGCTTAAATTGCGATTAAATATATCTTCAAGTTTCTCATCTTCACCTGCTCGATGCATAGCGGCATTTATACGTTCGCGACGGTGTATATACACGTGCACTGATTCATCAATCAAAAACATTATAAAAAAGCCAAAACACATAAGTAATTCAGCCAATTGGAATGGTAATTCCGGAATGTGCCCATTTTCAGAAAGAGCTTCAACATTTTCTTTAACCTCTGGTAGTAAATGAAGAAATGTTGTTGCCATCAAGACGCCACCTCCAAAATTTAATAGTAGTTGAACAATCCGTGGTTTCTTGAATGTAGTCGGCTCCTGTATTTTTCTTTGTTCTACATCTGGCGCGCTTCGCTCTAAACTGTCTTCATGATGCTGCTTGGAGCATCTTTTGCCTTTGCTATCATTTTGTTTAGACTTTAAGCAGCTATTAAGTTTCATAGGTATTATTCCACAGATCATAGATAAAGTAAAAAGGCTTATCATAGCGACCCCTTTAGCCAGCATCACATCACCGTCATCTTCGTGGTCATGGTCATGGTCATGATCATGGTCATGATCATCGTGCCGCAATAAGGTCTCAGTCAAATTAGTCAAATATTCTTCCATGATTTAAAATTAAGAAAATATATGAATAGAATTCACTAACGGATTGTAGTTGTAATAACGACTCGTAAATTACCTCAACGATCGTTTATATACGGGGCTTATCAGTTAACGACCGTTAATCATTTATCAAACAGCGGTCGTTATCACACATTGAAAAATAAACCTTCTTAATAGCCGTTATTACGCTTCTTGAAGCGGCCGTTGCTAACCAACACTGTTAGATGGTATCGACACAAGTGATTAAATCTGATTGTCACAGTGTTTACAGCATTTTATTATCACATGACAATTCAGACACTACACATTATAGTCGCACAACAAAATAATTATATTTATTTAAGAGGTTAGAGTGTTATTCACTGCCACTTTCTATTAATTTTGAATTTATGTATCTATTTTATAGACATTAACGGCGGCGTTGATGATTTAACTGATACTGTCATGATCTGAATTTTAGTCAAAAACGGTTAAAATGATAATAATAGTCACAATAATAGTAAGGAGCACAGTTTATTTCACCGTAGTCACATTGTGAATTGTTATCGTCGAAGCCATGAGACACAATGCGAAATGCGAACGCCGCCGATACCCAACGTGGACAACGCGCTCGAATGTTGTGATGCTTCGACATCGACTGCAGCCGTAAGCGTACTAACGGTAACGGCTTAGATCACCTTTTGCCTTATTCAGGTTTTACTAACAATGAGACCTTGACAGTTGACTCGCACCTGTGAACACTTTGATGTCTAATTATTTTTATATCGTTGTTTATTTATTATCGTGAGGAGTCCCATTTTAAATATTAATACGTTATGTACATATGTTTTTGTTACTCTTGCTGTCGACACGAAACACGCAATGCTGTTTCGCATGAAAGCGATCGCGGTGAAAGTGTTTCAGCGACAGAACCGGATTTTGCATCATCGGACGGGTGCAATGGCCGCGGAGGCCCAGAAAATTTATGGGTAGCGTTTGTGCGAACTGTTTTTCGCGATTGCAAAGGTAATATATACATGCATATATATATCGAAAAATTCATATGCGTTTGTTTTATTTGTAAAGAAGGCATTCGTACGATTTATTAAATATTTAATTTGTAAAAATATTTTTTAACTTTCCGTAGGGTAAGTTATTGCAATGGGGCGAAAATCGAAATTGAAAATTTTTACATTTCTCGGCGTTTCGAAGGTTTCTGAACGTTTTGGCATACCTCAGAAAAATGGATGTGTGTGGTGTGTATGTGTATGTATGTATGGATACAAATTTCCAGTCACGTTTTCGGGCGCACGGATCAACCGATTTCAGTGTTTCAAAAACATTCGATTCCTATTGATAGGAAAAAGAGCTGATTAGTTTTTTGGCGAAGGCAGGTCCAGCCGTTTTGGCTGTGCAAAAAATAGAAATCGACTTTTTGAGAGAAACGGAGTATCCGATTTGATTTATCTAAAAAAACATTCAATTAGTAATGATTGGGAGAAGTATTTATTAGTTTTTGGCAAAAGCAGGCCCAGCCATTTCGAAGATACGGAGCTAAATATGTAAAAAATGGCAGTTTTTGAGAAAACTAAGCGTCCGATTTTAAATGATTCAAAGAACTTTCTGCTTGTCTCAACAAAATAATTGAGTTTGGAAAAAAATTGTATATTTTAATTTTTTTTTTTAGTTTTTTTTGTATATCGAAACTAATTCAGATTTTATTTTTATTCTGACTAATTCTAATATAACTTAAACAAATAATTTTAACTTTGAAATTCAGTTTATATAATTCTTATAAATATTAGACAATGTTACAATATTAATAATAATCTATTTGAAAAACATCAGTATTCCTCGAACATTTCGTTACGGTACGGGAAATTCCAGCAATTTGCCTTAAGGCACGATGCCACACACTCCACTAGTAAATTATAATTTGTATTATAGTAATACATGTACATGTAACAATTTATGTACATATATGTATATTTATATGTAACATACAGCATATGCTATAGATATTAATTATCAAGTCAATAAATTAATCTACAAAATTTTATAAAAAATAATTATCAATAAAAAATGAACTAGTAGTGCACGGCATCTTGCATCAAAGCAAATTGGTGGAACTTCCCGTACCGTGTTTTGGGAATTATAAGTTTGAAAATCTTGAAAATTAAGAATTTTTTGATTTGATCGCGTTGCGTAGCTGTTTTTAGTGATAAAATATCGAAGCGCGTAAACGCCGCATCGCTGTCAACGGTTAAACATAATAAATTTAGGTACCGAATCAATCGACATGTAAACACGAGTTGTACTTAATGTTAAAATTTCTATAAAATATCTGATAATTTGTTGTGCGTATGTCTAATGATGATTTTTGACCGACAAATAGCTCATTTTTTTAAACATTTTTTATCAAATTTAAAACCTGCTTTCCCAAAAATTGAATGAATACTTTAGTCTGTCAAAAAATGACATGTTATTTGAATCATCAAATCGGGTTCTCCATTTTTTAAAAAGCTGCATTACCACTTTTGGAACTCTTTTCTCCGTGACTTCGAAACGGCTTCACCTACCTTTGCCAAAACTAATCATCACGTCTCTCCGTTAACACAAATCGAATGTTTTTTAAATCGGTTGACTTGTACTCTCGAAATCGTGGACGAAAAACTGTATCCGAATATGCATACATACATACTACACACACACACATACACATCCATTTTTCTAAGGTATGCCAAAATGCTCACAAACTTTAGAAAGGTAATAATATGCAAAAATTAACATTTTTGATTTGGTTTACTATTCTAAAATCACTATAACTTACCCCACGGGATGCTAATAAATAGTGTGATGATAAATTTGTTTGAAACTTTAATACATTTATAGTGATGTAGATAA